TTAATATCAAATTGTACTCACATCAAACATTTTGTTTGATTTAATTAAAGCTCAATGTGCAAATGTTCGTATGGTTTATGTTTGATAACATGATTTATGTGAAAACGTTATCGAGGAAAGTGTTTACAGGTGAAGTACTTAATTAAAAAACGAAATTTTTATAGGAATTTTGTGATATTAAAATCTTTTCGAAACAATTTTAACAATGATATTTTAATATTAGTAAGCATTATTTTTCGAAATGTTTAATTGCATATGGTTTGGTTTATGTATATAAAGTAAACACTTCTACAAAATTACTATTATTGATTATTCAATATTAACAAAATTATAATAATTTTAAATCTATTTAAATTGCAACTTCTTAAATTAGTTTCTACAGAAATTTATAAAAAAAAAATGTATACAAATTTCATTTTACTCCATTTAAACTAACTTAATCTAAATCAGATTGGGCACAACATTATAAAATAACATTAAATACTTTTGAATATTTTAACAGCAAATAATTGTTATTTCTCTTTCCTATTCTTGTCTTTTAACTGGAAATCCCGAAAAACCCTAATTTACATCAATAATAAATTACATTACTAAACGTTTCATTTCAACAACATTTCATGTCAAAAAATAGAAGAACAGAAAATAAAAAAAATTTTTCTCAGTGTACAAAATTATGACAATCCTACGTGATGTTGTTTCACAAATTTTTTAACATTTTTATCAGAAAATATTGAAGAAAAAAAAAATAAAGTTGGGTCAAACCAATGGTTTGTATTGTAGCACTTTTCCCTTCAACAAGTGAAAATTCTGGTTTTAAATACAGTCTATGTATATCCACCACACTATTAAAATTATTTTCATTTATAAACGAAACTATTTCTAGGATTGCATATATTTAGGATGAACCATTTATGCAGTCTTTGAAATAAAGCAAAAATTAATATAAAGAGGGGTTGACATAATGCTCAAAAATTCAAATTTTACAAATTTCAAGAGGCGATAACTTGAGAGGGGGTGGAGATGGAAAAAAATTTTCTTCTAACGAAATGAATTATTTATTAGTGTCTAAAAGCTGGTAAAATTTCAGGATCCCACAACCTGATGTCTATAAGAAAAACAACATCAAAAACGGATTTTATGTAACGGTAAATTATAACGGCCATTTTGTTTTTTAAAGGTTAAGTATGATTATGTCGTGATAGAATAAGAATCTCACTGTTTTTCTGCGTTTGTAAAATTTGAAAAATGCATGTGGTTCAACTACAGTAAACAGTTGAAAAATGGCATTTTTAGGGTTTTGAACGGGTATAATTTTTAGAGGGGAGGAGATAGGTAAAAATTATGTTCTACAAAAATTGATTGCTATTAAAGATTTATGTACATTTAAAATTTTAGGTTTCTATCTTCAAGGGTGTAGAAGTTTTGTAAACAGTCACACGGACAGACGGACGGACAGAGTGAAACTAATAAGCACTTTTTTTTTCAAAAATTTTTTGGAAAAGTGCTGAAAACAAAAAAAGTACGAACGGAGAAGAAAAACCAAAACAAAAAAGAAAAAAAAAATAGGTAAAAGTGACAAAAGGTTCTTTTGGTTATTAAATGTCCTTGTTTAGATTTATAACCTCAAAATAGAAAAATCCTTAAATCAATCTCTCGTAAAAGCAACAAAAAGCAAAAAAAAATTGTGAATTTTTCTACACAATTTTTTTGTTTGTATTAAAGGCACCTATTTCTAGTTTTGGTTAGGTTTGTAGAGTAAAAGGTTCACTTGTTTTGTAGTGTACATGTGTCAAATTTTTTTTATTTCGTCTAAGCATTCTTCTTTAAGGACCCTAGATAAATACCTACATTAAAATTGTTTGATAATATTTGTTTTATTCTTTTGATTCGATCACAAGTATAAAAATTTTTTTATATCGTTTTCAATTCCAATTTGTTTTACGAATTTGATTTTTTAGAAAAACTTTTAAAGAATTTCAAAATGAATGCGAAAATTTCATGGAAAACAATTTTAGCAAAAATTTGCAATTTATTGGCGTTGTTTACACTTATCAAGTATACGTAAGCAATGTGAATAACATTTTATCAAAATCTTTTTTAATCACCTGAATCGTTTCAATTTTTAAAACTCATGACTCACCGACTACAACACAAATAGTCAAATTTAAATGGATTACGTTCAAGTATTTTGAGCCGAGTTTAATTGCAATATTACTTTATTAAAATAATATTAATTAAAAATTATATTATTTTATGTGAAGGTTCAGGCGAAACGTCAGGCGAAAATTACAAATCAATTTCATAGTAAAATTTAAAATCAGTCATGATTTTATAAAATGTTACTACAATTTGATAATACAATTTCAGAGAAATGTCTATTTGTCTGTCTGTTTGCCTGTATGTCTGTCGGTTTGTTTGTCAGTTTGTCTGTGCAGATCAGTATCTCATGTTCGGTTGAATCAATTTTAATTAAATTTCATATATAAGTTTACTTTGAGAATGAGACGTTTCGATCAACTTTTAGGATATGCTACGCCCCGGGAACTGGACTTTTTTAACGACAGATTCCATATTTTTGATTATTTTTAAGAAACTATTCAAACCATCAATTTCGAATTTTATGTATAATCTTCGTTTAGTGTAACGAGAATTCAAGTAATGAGAATTTCGTAAAAAATCCCTTCAATTAATGCTAATATTTTTGATTTTTAATTGTGTTATTGCAATAATAATTTTGAAGTTGTATTAGGAGATAAGCACAATTCGTATTAAAATCACGAATTCGATAATTATAAAAAACCGTAATTATATCCTAAAGTAAACAGGCACAATTAAATTTTAAATAAATTATTTAGACTTGTTTAGGAAAAAAAAATTATTTTGTTCTTCTCCCTTACATTTCCTTTAATATACAAAAAATTTAAAATGTATCCGGTTTTCTTTTGAGGTAGAGAAAATCATTTTTTTTTTTTTACTTTTGATTTAACATGCCTCAAGATTATTACAGACGTCTCTAAATACCTATATCTTACAAAATCTAGATTCTAGAGTAATATTCATGACAAGTGAATGTTGTACTTTACTATAGGGGCAAAATATTTTTATAGGTATAAATTTAAGTGTGCTCTTGTTTAAAGATCTTTTACTATACTTTTGAAAAGTAATTTATTCTTCAAATAAAAACACAGAAAATTTTCGAAAGGGAAATTTTATACATAGTACACCTGTAAATTTAAAAAAAAAGAAAATTGACTTTTCTTTTAAGGAATAATGAAAAATAATTTATGATTCAGAAGAGGTTTTAACAAAATACACAACAATGATCAATTTTAGGTCTGAGTATCAACAAAAATAATATTAGATTACCTTAAAAGGGAAAAAATTTGAATAATTTTTATGAGACTGAGATTTTGTTTGTTTGTTATTTTGAAAATATTCAAAGAAAAGTCAACTTGAAAAATTGCCATTACATTCAATTCATTTCAATTTTCAAGAGGGAATTTTGTATTCCAGTCATAAAATGTTTACTTTTCTATTTTTTTATTGTAATAAGAACACCGGTAATTTACACAACAATAGGATGGGAAACACTACAATGTAGAAAGACTTAAAAATTATTTAAATATTTAGAATTTATAAGTTTCCATTTTGTAGATGAAACTTACAATTTATACTTTTGTTGAATATCTGGATCAACGAAAATAGTAAAACTGGCAATTAAAGTAGATTCTTTTATACTTGAACGGCAATATTTTGAATGTCGGTGAAAATGAAGCAAAGTTATTATTTGAATTTAGACAGATGTCCTAAAAAAAATAATTTGTTAAAAATTTTTCTAAAAGTATTTTCTTCATTTTATTTTGAGGAATTCTCACAATGTAGTTGATATTGAATCAATTCATTATCCAATTATAGATTCCTGTCAAGATTAAGATTAATTAAATTACATTTTTCAATGTAATTCGTTTTTGTGTAAAATCTACTTGTGATGTTTTGCCTTATTGCGTCAAATGCTATTTGACTTAACGCTTGTTTTGCCTTAATCGACTTATGCCATTTTAACTTTGCTAAAAATTCTTAAAATAAAGTTGACTATTATGTTTTGAAGGTTGAGTTTCGAGTGATAGTTAATTGTAATAAAATAGTAAAACCTACATTCGAGTTAATATTCCAAAGACAATCTTTATTTTGAAAATTATACCAAAATGAATTGTTGAAAAATATTCTGTCTTTTTTTGCTGTTAATTTACAAATAACGTCCGAATTAGATAAGTGTATGTGTTAATTATGTAGGTGTATGATTTTGATGTAGTAATTAAATTTATAGGTCTCGCATTGAAAATTTTAATTCTTGGAAGTACAGTAGTTTTTATTTCAATATTTTAGTAAACAAGTTGTGTAATTGAGTGGCCTGTTGCAAGTCAAAAATAAAATGCGAAGTGTTCTACAAAAGTTCAGTAAAGCATTCAAACGTTAAACCTGTTGATCTATATTAATTTATCTAAATATTTACCTTTGATATGCAAGTAAAATGTACTGCTCCTAGGACTATATTCTGCTTTTTATTAAAACTACTGAAATATTTGCGAGTTAAATTGTTTTGCATGACATGGACAACATTTTCCTTTGCATTCAAAAAGTAATAATAAAGTTTGTTTTCACAGAATCCTTTCAATTACCCTTCAATTTATTAAAATTACTTCTAGAATAATTTCTTTTCTTCGCAGTTTGTTATACAAAATAATTTTCCTTTGAATTAGCAAAACTTTTTATTTAATACAATTTCTTTCTTCTATGCGTTTAGTTTTAAAACAATTATGAATTTAATTTTTTTTTGAGACTTACAAAGCTTCTTTGTTGCAATTCACTTTTAGTAACCGAAATGAAAAAGGAATCTATTAAAAATTATGTAAAATGTCTGTTTTGACATAAAAATTTTTTTAAATTCTTCCCTTGATTGAAAAATTAAATAATATTTATTTTTTTGTTTTTTATTCTAGTGCTTCATCAGATGGTATGGTAATAGATAACCCACATTTAGTACTTTTATTTTATTTATCACAATTATTTTTACGAGAATTAATCAAAAGTTATCGTTTAGTTCAAGTAATACCAATGGATATGTCAGGTTATTATGGTAAGTTTAATTGAATTCGTAATAAAAATATTAATTTTAATTCTTATAAATTTTAATTTTAAGATTTTATATTAAAATAAAAATATTTAATTTTATTTTAATTGCAGATAACAGGGCAGGTCCATCAAATTTAGGAAATGTTATTAGTCAAATATTATTGTGTAAGCAAATAACACCAGATTTTAATCAAGAAGAATTATGTAGTATAACAAAAGATTCACAAGAAATAGCAAAAATTTTGGGTGATATGCAAGATTTTATGCCTAAACATGAAACATATCTAGGTAAGTTGAAAACAGTAACAGTATTATAGAACTAGTAATAGTAACGAACTGAATAGTAACATGTCATTAAAAGAATTACATATACTTTTAAAAATCTCATTCTGATATTAATTGATTTAAAAACAAATTCACAAATTTTAATTGTTTATAAGCTCCGTCCGTTCACTTGCTTGTGCTTCTGTTTCCAAATAAAAATTTCATATATCTTTTGAGATGAAATTTAATGCACGAACACGTCATCATATGAATTATATTTTTCTGGAAAAACAGCTTTACGTATCTCTCCATTCTCTGTTCTTTGTTTCTCTATTTTTTCATAAACTGTTTTTCTTAAATGGTGAGTTTGGAAGCTTGAAATTTTTTATTAATTCCTGCAGTTATTTCCTCATAAAATAAGCAAAATTTAACTTTTTTTTCACCGCTGCTATAAAGCTGAGAAATAGAATAAAATCATCCTAAAGATGCACAATATTGTAATATTGAGAAAAATTTTGAATATTTAAATTGTTAAAATGGAAATGTGCTGCCTTACAAACCAATCAGTTTATTTTAATTTATGAAAAATAAAAAAAAATATATCAGGTACAAAGAGCCAAATCGTTTTAAAATTTCCGAGCATATATGAAATTCATAAAAAAAAATATTTCTTTTCAAAAGAATAATTCAATTATTTTATATTTCGTGCAATAAATTCCTACTAATTTATTCAGGATCCTATCTGCCCCATTTTCAATCATATTTTTTTAATATTCCAAATCTGTTCTATATACCGACTGAATAGACCTTACTGATGTATACAATATAAATTTTCAGCAAGAGACAGAGTATAATAAGAATATAGCCCACACTCTACAGTACATATTTTATATTTTGTATATTGTTGGCTGATATTTCCTTATATTTAATTCAGTAAACGTTAGTTATGGTTCGATTATTCTCGTTTTTCTTCTCTTCTTATTAAAAGTATTTTACTTAATTAACTGATAAATTGATAATTATGTATATTTATTCTATACGATTTTTTTCTTCTCAAAGTATCTGAACAAGTTTGCCTTTTGTCCTTTCTTTATAAGGATATTGGTTATTGATTAATTGTGTTAAACGGTCGAATGAAACTTGATTGACAAAATAAAAGTTTTTATATAATTTATTAGATTAATGAATAAAATTATTAGGTATGGAATAGGAAATTAATTTTCCTATATACAATATTATATAAATTATTTAAATTTTTTGTTTTGCTAAAGAATAGCCAATATTCAAATAGAAACTTTATTCAAAATAAACTGACATTAAACGAATGATTTGCAAGGAAGCACATTTTCAATTGACAATTTAATTAAAATTTAGCAGTTCTGCTGAAAACGGTTTTTTTGTCTAAATTATTTTCTTTATTATTTCATTTTTGCATACTTGTTGGGGCAGAATAAAATAATTTCAAAAAAATCCTAATATTATAGTCTAGGCATAATGTTAGGAAAACTAAAATAAAAACAAATATATTTACAAGATAACAGGGAATAGGGAACGTTATCTGTGGGGCTTGGATAAAAAAATTATAGGCTTACAAAGACTCAAATTGTGTTATAAAAAAATTCTTAAAGGCAAAAATTACCTTAACATATACAAAGCCTACACGCTTTTAAAATTTCGAACACATAATAGTTCCGAAAGAGCTGTTTTCTTCAACAATTGGAAAATCTAATGATGTATTAGTTACTGTACCTTTAGGAAATTGAAATTCTTCATACTACAAATGTTAGTTTACAGAAATATATTAAAAATTTTAGGAGAGTGAGTGATACGGTCGGAGGAATAAGCAATTTTGAATTAATATACACAGTTTTTTTCTTTTCTCAATATTCCAAAATTTGTTTCAAATTTCGAACATTACAAATTATTAACGAATAATAAATTTAGAATATATTACTTTTTTTTCCAGAACGTAATACAGCACTTATAGACGATCAGAATGGCTTATGGCCAGCGAAAAGAAGGCGTAATTCATTATATAAAAATATGGGTTTATTTTGTTGTGTATCGCGACCAAATTATCTTTAAAATGAAATCAAAATAAAATAAAATTAAACAATTATTTAATGTATAAAAAATTATAAATAAAAAAATAATTATTACTTAAGAAAATGTAATTTAATAATAATTATGACAAATATTGTGTAAGTAAATCTAAAATAAATTTAAAATATAATTTTCAAAAAAAGAAAAAAGTCAATAAATCCTAAAAGTCAATGAATTTTAAAAGAAAATAACAAATTCTCAATTATGTTTTGTATATAAAATTAAAAAATTAAAATAAATAAATTAAAAAAAAATATTCACATATTTGCAATAATGTTCAAAATTAAATTTTCTTCTTTTATTTTTAAATTAAATTCAAAATGTTTTTAGTAATTATTAATTATAATACAAATTTTATGTGCTAACAATGTAAAACCTTCTCTAATATTATTATTAGATATACCACTGTCCTTGTAAATATAAGGCTACCACATACTCATAGAGAGAGCAACTCTAATTTTCTTTTATAGTTTCTAAAAAAATGTCTAGAGTTTATACGAAGGAAGAAATTTTTATCGTCCTTATGTTTTAAGTCCTCAAAATTTTTAGAAGTTTTCATACAAAATAAATTTTATTGAAAATATATTTCCAAAAATTTATAAAAAATTAATCGATACAGATCACCTTTATTGCAATTTAAAGAAGTGCTGAGTAAAATTACGAAAAAATAAAATTCAAAATAAAATTTAAATTAAAAAATTTTCATAAGTTAAATTTACCAAAATCTTAGCCTGAATATTTTAAACAATCACTGCTAACATTTAGAATTTATACAAAATATCTTTGAAAAATGAAAACTGTGAAATCTGCAAAAATAAAATTTAATAAAAGAAAATACTTTCGAAAATCGTCTAAAGTTTTAAAGAATTCTTAAAATTTTGTTTATATTCTACCGAAAATTTTTCAAGTTTGAAAAATTTCATAGCATAGAAATGATAACTTGCTATGTAACCAATATAATTTAATTACTAAATCTGTAAAAATAACTATTTTGAAAGATTAATAACTATAAAAAAAATATTTTCAACTTTTCAGTTTGAAGAACATACAAAAGGAGCAATTCTCTTGTAAAACACGAAAATAAAAATAACAAAAATATTAATCAAATAAAAAAAGAACCTAGATCTTCAATAGTTTTTTCTAAAACAAAAAACTAATTTTATTAGAAAATAGATTGAGAAAAAACATGCGAATTATGTCAAAGTTGACCTGATTAAAGTAGTTCAAAAATTTATTTTAATGCGGTGGCCTTATACTAACCGGAGCAGTGAAAATACCATAAATTCTTTATTAAATTTTTTCAATTTCTCGTAAATTTTTATAATACAAAAATTTCATTTAATTTTTTAATTTTATGAAAAAATAATATTATAAATTCAATAGAATCCAATCAAACTCAAAATTTATTTTGATTTTTTCTCTGTGTATAATTACAAATATGTAAATATTATTTAATTTAAATTGTAGTTAATATATAATTATTTATATATATATATAGCTATATATTTTCAAGGTCAATTTCTAAAAAGTCTCAACTTAAAAAATTTAAAATATAAATTAGAGAAAATTGCAATTATTGCAAATGCAAAACAGAAATTCTGCACAACTTAAAATCAAACAAAAAAAAAAGAATTTAACAATTTTTTATTTTTTCAATATTTTATATACAACCAAAACAAACGCACTAAAAAATACAAAAAAAAAATGAAAGTACCTACAATTTCTTTGTCAAACAAACAAAATGTCAACTAGCTATAAAAAAGAAAACCTAATTTCAATTAAAAAGAACAATAAATTTAATTATAAAATACAAAAAGATTATTAATTTAAATAAAAGATTATATATAAAATGAAAATTATATAATGTATCTATATATATATATTATATATATTATATATATAAATATATATATATATATATATACATGAAGAATAGTTTAAAACATAAGTGAGTTTAAAATAAAAATGCGTAAACTGTAAAAATTATTTTTTTGTTTTCTTGGTTCTTAAGGAATGAAAGCTAAAGCAATATTTTAATTTTTAAATTTAAATTAAAACTAAAATTTAATTAAAATTTATTCAATAAATTTTAGAGAAAAGAAAAAAATTTAAAATTTTAATTTTTTAATTGGATATTTGAAATTATATTTGAAATCAAAAAAAAAAAATTAATAATTTTATTATTTAATTTAATTTTTTAAATTTTAATTTTACCCAATGTAACAAGATCAAATTGTTATTGGTTAAATATAATCAGCTCAATTTTAATAAATTTTTTCAATAACTATAAATTTTATATAAAACGAAAATTAATTTATAAAATTTTATTACACTTATTTCTTGATGTGAAAGAAAAAATTTCTTAATTGTGCAGAAATACTTGCAGTTTTATTAAAATTTAATGAATTCTTTTTAAGAATATTAGATTTTTTAGATAAATATTGAACTGTCTGTCAATGTTCTCTAGCTGCTTAAATTTTATTATTTCTTATTCCTTATATGTAATTTAATTGCAAGTATTTTTTTTTTCTATGGAAACTGCATGATACCTACAAAATTTTGTTCTGTTAAATTTAAACTGCTTAACAGATTCTCTATTATAAATTTTCAAAGTAAAAATTTCTTCCTTTAATTTTTCAAAACAATAAAATTCTCAATTAAAAAATAACAGTGTGCTCATAAACATATTATTTATTACTGTAAGTGTAATAGATTTTAAATTACATAAGTGTAGGGAAATATTAAAAATTACGTATATTAGGTAATTACATATATGTATGTATGTATGCATATATATAATTAATAAATGAAAATAATATAAAATTACAAAAAAATAAATAAATAAAAAAATCGTGATTAAAGTAAAAAAACTAAAACAAAAACAAAAGAACACTAAATTAATTATAAGTTCCAATTATAATAATTAGCATAATAGTTAATAATTGCAAAAAAAAAAAAATAACAGGAAATTTATAATTAAATTACATTATTATAATAAAATCAATTAGATAATTTAATTAAAAGATGAAAATATAAATTACAATGTATGTAAGTAAAAACCTATTGGACTGGAAGTTTATTTCTCAGATTAATTTCATATTTACAAATATAATATTTAAAAAAAAAAACTTTAATTGAGTTAACATTTAATTTAATGCAGTAATTTATTTAAAATAAAAAAATTTATAATTTTTAAATTAAAAGTTATGTTAAAAATATAAATGAGAGCGAAAAACAAAAATGGATGCTCATTAATATTATTCATAACAAAAAATAAAACCATATTTAAAATTTAATAAAAAGAAAATAAAATCAAAGCACATCAAATAAAAATTTTACCACACCTATTACAAAAATATCAAAGTATTTTACTCATTCCATTTCTCTCCCTGTACCATAACAGAAGGGGAAGCTTAAATACTCTCTAATTTAGGGAATTTTCTCAATGAAAAATCATTAGACAACAAAGATCATTAAATAAAGCCACAAAAAAAAAAGTTTTATTTTTTTCTGTTTCTCTCTTTTCAATAATTAAGATGATGGGTTCGATATAATTAAATCAAAAAAAAAAAAACAAAGTTATTTTAGGACCTTAAAAGTAAAAATATTTTAGGGTCCATTAAGGATATTTTCATTTATACTAGGAATTTAGTAAAAAATTATTTTAAAAAATTATTTTTATATTAAACTATTAGAAATTTTTTGTTATTTAAAAGGACTTTAGGAATTTTCTTTTTTTAAGTTTGCGATACATTTGAAAACAAAAACAATAACAACAATTTTAGTTTCTGATTGTAATGTCGGATTTTCCATAATTTTAATTTATATTTTGTTAAAATGTATTGAATTTAATGTACCACAATAAATTTGTGAGGAAAATGGTCAAAAATTATCTGAATTAAAAGAAAAAAAGCATAAGACAACAAAAACTTCAATAATTGGAAGAAAATTTACTGGATTGAAAAATTCAAAAACAAAAATCTTATTAATTGTAGTGCTAAAAATATCATTAAAATTGTTATATATTTTTAATTAAATATTTTGTAAACTCAAATTATTCAAATTCGTACATGATATTGCAAAATAAATTATTTTTCTAAATTATTTTTTGTTACTGCCCATTTATTTATCACTGCCCATTCAACCTATCTAAATTATTTCAAATTTTCATTTATTTGTACTTTTACTTAAAAACTATTTAACTTCAATAATATTTAATATTATTAATTAATTAAATTAATTTGAGAAATATAGAAACAAGTATGGAGTTAAAATAACGATGGTATAATAGCGGACCAAATACTACAAATTAACAAATTAACAAATAAAAAAAAAATATTTTAACAAAAATCAATTCTATAATTAAATTTTAATTAAAATAAAACAATTAATCTATATATAAATAAAAATAAAAATTAAAAAAATAATTTAATAATAAAAATTAAATAAAAAATAAAAATTATATAGAATTATAAAAAAAAAAAAAAATTAATTACCTGAAAAACATACTCAATGTTAATTCACAAATCAATTAAATTTTTTTTTTTGTTTTTAAAATTACTCATTTAATATTATAATTAACAATAATAGTAATAATAATGATAACAATATTTAATAGCATATAATAATAATAACAATAATATAATAAACAAGGAAAAATCAATTACATATGGTATAAGTTTAATGGTAATAAAAATAATAAAAAAATAAGGAAAACCAAGTAGTGATTGCACCAAAAGCACGTTAACATTTATGTACATACATTTATTATGTAATATTAAAATTATTTATATACTTAATTATAGGAATTAAAATTACTTATATAACTCAGATAAATTCTTATAAATAATGTAATTATAGGTACGTTATAATAAAATAAAAATACTAAAGAAACTATAGAAGAATAAAAAATTAAGTAATTTCACAGTATTTTTACTTTTGTGTTATACATTAATTACTTTAAATTCTTATTTTTATAATTAGTTGAATAATTTAGCTTCTACATATTAAATTTTTATTATTCTGTTTAAGTCATATATTCCATTTAAAGCGGTGAAAATTTGAGACTCTCACAATAAATATGTACTTTGCCCCTTCCCAAATTTATAAAAATACGTATGTACTTTCTAAAATATTTGAGTATTTTAAATCATTTACAATATAACACAATTTTTTTAATTATGTATATGAACTATATGTTCCTAAGGAATTACA